AGATAGATAGATAGATAGATAGATAGATAGATAGATAGATAGATAGATATCGTCGGGCAAAACATCCTAAAAATAAATGTATAATAACCACGTAGACTCCATCTTGCTGCAATGGCCTCCTTAGCAAGTGGATAGTTCGACACTCAATCGGTTTTGAACTCCTTCTCCTCGACTGGTTGTCTGCCAACGCTACATAGCCCAGGGCGCTCTGTTATTAACCCCTAGCTGCGAGGAGAAAATATGAATTCATACCTTTACAACGGTATTTGTGCGAAAGTGAACGCAACGGCCTCGGATTGAATTTGAACTCGACTCGCGCACATCTATAAGAAATAAATAAAGTACATTCATTTACAAGTACGCAGATACAGATATGTCTGATGTTTCCCTAATATATATATATATATATATATATATATATATATATATATATATATGAATATATATATATGAAAACACATGATATATATATATATATATATATATATATATATATATATATATATATATATATATATAAAGCTCTGTTTAGAAAAGTACATAATTGTTAGCCTTTGGCTTGACCCGTAGGAATACAAATGCTGAAATGGCAGCAGTCACTGAAAAGCTTGGGGTAATTACGCATTAAAAAATTGTACGCCACCCGCCTTCTTGAGTATGTAAATGTAAATATTTACTAAGATTAGTCTAGGCAGGTCCAAGGATATGATAGCTGGGCAACGAATGACAGTTGAAATCACCATATTAATAATAATGATATTTGAGGCTAGCTTATTAATACATAGCTCTATAAGACAACCCATCTGGAGGTATTTTCTAAACTTGGTTTAGTCCTATACATTATAACAATAAAAATCAAACTCATTACAAGAATAATGATCTGTGAGCTTAGCTTGTTAACCATCACATTATAACATTTAACTTTTGTCCATATATATATCATATATATATATATATATATATATATATATATATATATATATATATATATATATATATATATCATATATATATATGTGTGTGTGTGTGTGGAGGGGGAGTAATATGAAATTGATTAAGTCCGACAATTATTTTAATATATATTCTGTTTATACGTCATTTTTATCGGAAAGTTAATTGTCAGAATTAATCCATTTCATAATCGGTTGTCATTGTTTACGTTAAAATACATTTCGTGAGCAGAAATGCTCGATCGAGAAAAATCGTCGAAGATTTATAAACTGTAATTCGGACTTTGCTAACCAGACGCTTCTTTTGTGGCTGAATGGTTAACAGCTCATCAGGTCAAATGATTGTTCCCATTAAGGGTTACAGGTTCGATTCCTGTTGGAGAAGCCCATATTCTACGAAATTTCTCAAACGTTCAGGCCGGTAAAGGTAATTAATACTGTTTAATTTAAAAAAAAAAAAAAAAAAAAAAAGAGCATTTATTTAAATAAATTATATCTATAAAAATAACGTATAAACGGAAAATATATTAATATATATGTATGTATGTATGCATGTATGTATGTGTGTGTGCGTGTGTGTAAAAATTGTTGGCGCGAGTGTTAGAGCGCTAGCTTTCCAAACATCAGACACCGGTTCGAATCTCACCCTGGTCGATTTGTGAGAAAGCTAACATGATGACGTTATCGGCCTGGGTTGGAAAGTGCTTGAAAATTTTATCACGAGTTGACTCAAGCCTTATGAGCGAATTTGGATAGACGTCGATTGTTGGACTAATACGAAGACGGAAGTCATTGTAACCAAGAGTTTCAGCGTACAGGCTTTTATTTCTTTTCTTTTTTTTTTTTTCTCCAACTGTTGATCACGCCGGATGATGAGCTCTCTCCCGGAAACTGTAACTAAGGGCCGCTCAGCATAGTTTCTATATAATCTATCTGTGATTGTTGAAAAAAGGGCGCTTGTATCAGGGCTTGACTAGCCGACTTAGCAGACTGGCGTGCCCGGAAATGAGCGACCAGTCATTGTGTGAAGATGAGTTGAGTTTGAATGGGAATCCGACGGAGTGGTAGGTATCATAAGACAATTTGGAAAACTTTCATTCTGACATGTTTCACCGACAAATCGATTTTTCTGACGACACCAACTGATCAACAATAAATGTCGAAGCGACTTCAAATTGCGTATATATTTCGATGATTGTATATGAGTAATGGTGATTTTCCTAACGCAGCTTAGTTGTGGCACGAGGCCGAAAGTATGGGGCACCCAGTGAGGATCGAACTCAGTCGCAATTGTTCTAGCGAGACAAGCTTGCTAACCATTACACCACGTCGTAGTGGTATAATGGTTAGCAAGTTATATATACGTTATGTCCGAAGCTCTTCTCTCAATGTTTTTGTTTTTTTTCTGTACCGGAGAAAGAGAGTGAGAGAGAGAGAGAGAGAGGGGCGCGTGCGCGCGTGTGTGTCACTTCAAATGTCATTTTTCTTTGACTTAGTACGTAACTTTTAGAATCTGTACAAATCTTGTCCCGATTTGATAGAAAGTCACTTGCTGCTATGGTAAAATGGTTGAACTTGCTGCTGCCTTGAAAATCAGCATACAAAATCCTAAGATTTTTGACCTGGGTTAGAACACCGGCCACTGACGGCGGTGCGATGAAAACAAAACTAAGTTACTAACCAGGT